CGAGGGACGGGGCTCTCTCCGTGCGCGTGTGTGTGTGGGAGAGAGAGCGAGGGACGGGGCTCTCTGTGCGTGTGTGTGTGTGGGAGAGAGAGCGAGGGACGGGGCTCTCTGCATTTTGTGTGAGAGTGACGAATGGGGCTTTCTCTGTGTGTGTGAAAGAGAGAGCGAGGGACAGGGTGCTCTGTGTGCGTGTGTACGCTCACAACTCCGGGACGGGGGAACATGCAAGTGTGTGTGTGTGTGTGTGTGTGTGTGTGTGTTAGAGACTGGGTGATCAATCTGTGCCACAGAGTTAGCCACTTATGGCCACACTGACGTGTTACGTTTTGCGTGTCTTGCAGTGGCGGGAGTTCACAGACAGGACGTTAGCGCGCTGCCCGCATTGTCGACACGTGTGAGTACCACCGGCCTCGCTTCCCGATCCCGTTACCCGTTCCACGGGTCCATCCTTCGCCCGTGACACCCGCCCCCTCCCCTCAGTCTGCGTCTAACGCGGGACTCTGTTCATTCCCCAGCTCCTCGATTGGCCGGCAGTACCCGCGTCGGCGATGCATGTGGATATTCATGGTGGGGTTGCTGTTTGCTGCTATCGCTACAGGCCTGGTGGTGAGTACAGAGCCCACGGCACTCCCTGCTCGTGATTCCCCACCTGTTTTCCTTCCCCTCCCTCTGATGGGGCTGCCCGAGACATGGAGGAGTTCAGTGACCTGCACCCTCCACCCTTGTACTGTACACTGTTATCTGCTCTCCACCGCAGTCCTGCTGTTGGGCCTTGGGTGTAGCGCTGGACGTGATGCCTCAGTGTTCCCAGAGTCGACACAAGATTCTCGAAACTTGCACCAAATTCCTCCTTTTCTCCTGTCTCTGTTTTATTCCCTCCCCTCTTTCCTGGCTGACAAACCACTGACCAGGTTTTGGTTCTTATTGAGAATCGCAAATGCATGTCCCACCCAGCGATGGCCAAACAGTCGTAGAGGTGTACGGCCAGGAGACAGACCCTTCGGCCCAACTCGTCCGCGCTGACTGGGTGTCATAAAGTAATCTAGTCCCATTTGCCAGTTTTGGGCCCATATCCTTCTAAATCCTTCCTGTCGTCTACCCATCCAGATGCCTTTTAAATCATGTATTTGCGTCCAGCGTCCACCTTTTAACCATTGCCCCGTGAAATTTTCTGGTGTTGCTGCCAGGGAATCCCCACCTCCCTCGCTATCAATATCCTGGGATGTTACTGTCTCCAATAAGGGACAATCTAACCACCGTCCCCTTGACGTTCAATGGTGTTACCATCACTGTATCCCCCACTATCAACATCCTGGGGGTTACCATTGACCAGAAACTGACCCGGACCCAGCCACATAAACACAGGGGCTAGAGGTGCGGGTCAGAGGCTGGGAATCCTGCAGCGAGTAACTCCCCTCCTGACTGTCGTCCTCCTCCCTCACTACCCCCCCCACCTCCCCACCTGCCAAAGCCTGTCCCACCATCGACAAGGCACAAGGCAGGAGGGTGAGGGAATGCTCCCCACTTGCCCTGGGTGGGGGAGGCCAGCTCCTACAACACTCGAAGCTCAAAGCACGGACAAAACAGCCCCTGTTTTGCATCCCACAAGCATCGCTCCCTCTGCTTCCAACGCTCAGTCGCAGCAGTGTGTACCATCCAAAAGATGTGCTGCAGGAATTCTCCAAAGAATCACCTTTTCAAACGACGGCTAGAAGGACAAAAGGGCAGCAGACACATGGGAAGACCAGCACCTGCAAGTTCCCCATCCGAGCCCCTCACCATGCTGAGTTGGAAATGTATCGCTGTTCCTTCATTGTTATTGGGTCAGAATCCTGGAAGCGAGGTGTCTTCATCCCAGAGAGTGGGGAGCCTGTGGAATTCTCTGTCACAAAGTGGTCGAGGCCCAAACATTGAATGGCCTTCAAGTAGGAGATGGATAGGGCACTTGTGGCTTTAAAGGTAAGGAGAAGAGGGCAGGAGCAGGCGACTGAGTTGGAAGATCAGCTGTGATCCTGTTGAATGGTGGGGCAGCCTTGATGGGCCGAACGGCTTTCTGTTCCTTCGCGATCGCTTGCCATAGCTGTGCGCTCTCACGTTCTCGGATTCATGCACACTCCGATGCCCAGGTCCCTCTGCGTCTCTGAACTCTGTAACTGTTTCAGATTCCTGCCCAAGAAGGCGGCGTTACATTATTCCCTGTCCCACAGATCCTTGCCCTTCGGTTGGTTAATCCTGCACATCCCTTTTATAGCCTTCTGGTGTCCTTTTTGCCTCGCGGCCTACCTTGGGTGTTATCGGTGACCCGAGCTCCCGTACCTTTCACACCACCATCCGAATTCTGCCTGTAAATTGTTAGAGCTGGGGTGCCAGGAGCGCTCCCTGTGCTGTGTCTCTCTGGAAAAGACCCATGATTCCTCTCTCCCTCTCAACCAGCCATACCTCTATCCCCTGCCAGCCTATTCTTTACCGACCCTGGGAGCTGATTAGCCTTGAGAGGGGGGATCTTTGTCCAAAATCTACCTTTTCCTTGAATTTGGGAGTTTTGTAAATGTTCTGCTTTAGTTGGAAGCCTCAAATCGAGCTGGGAGAACGCTGTCTGTGTTAAACTGATTTGTTTTGTAGTTCGACCCAAATGTTGTCTGGAGACCTCCGATCGGCGTTGCCTTCGCTGTACTGCGTGTGGCCTCAGTTGTTTTGAGTGTTAAGTGGAAATGCCCCTTCCTCTGTCGCTCTCACTCTTTCCCCTCTCTGTGTGTGTCTCCCAGGTATCTACATGGAGGGAGGCCAGGAAATATCATGGGATCTACGCGGGTTGGTCTGTGCTCATTATTCTATCGCTGTGTTGCCTCGCCCGAGCCTGCTACTGGGCCTGCCTGAAAGTGAGCCACCCAATACAGAATTTCTCCTGACGTGCTGAGGGCAGGAACAGGAGGTGGGCGAGGGGTTGGAGGGGGTGGCGCGATGAGAACAGCCCCCTCCCTGACCGTCCCGCACCCGAAGAAGTGAACTGTAATGACGTGCTGTCCCGTCTGTGCAGAGCAGGGTCTCTTGCTTAAGGCCCCTGCCCCTTCACTGTCTGCAATAAACCCCTAGATCCCATCTCCACTACCACCACCACACATTACAGACCCCTGTCAATGTCTGAAAGATAACCACCTCCACACTACAGGCCATTGTCACCGCCTACACTAAACCCTTTCACACTACAGAATCTCATCACCGCCTGCAATAAACTCTTTCACACTACAGAGTCCCTTCACCGTCTCTAGTACACAAACCCCCCCCCCCCCCCCCCTCTCCCCCCCCCTCTCCCCCCCCCCCCCCGCGACCCCCCCCCCCAACTCTCTTTCTCTCTCCACGCTCACTACTGCCCCCTGTCCCTCGGGAGGGTGGTTGAAACGGACGTTCCTGTTGTCAGAACCGAGGAGAGACGCAGAGCGAGACGGCAGTGTGTGAGAGAGAGAGAGACGTCCAGGAATCCATTCCCGGCTCCGGTCCGGGTTCCTCATGCTCCTGCTCCTGGGTCCCGCCTGAGGCTGGGAACTTCCCGTCCATCAGGGGCACTGTCTGTGGGATCTCTCTCTGTGCCCGGCCCTTCGCTCCGATCGCCGTTCCACCTTGCTCCTTCCATCAGCTTGTGCAACCTTCCCAGGAGGACCAGAGGGAGGTGTCGTCAGCAATGAGTTGAACCGTAACTGGGGACTGTGTCCTGTGGAAACTCGAGCGCCCCTTTCCTGGAAATGGGACCCCTCCGCTACAAACTGCACCCCTCCCCCCTCGACGACAAACTGACCCTGCCTCCTCTACAAACTGACCGCCCCCTCCCCTTCGCTGGTTGGTCTTGGAGGGGCTCTCTATGGGGTTCTATTGCTGTATGTTGTGTGCCCGTGTTACAGGGCCCTGGATCTTTGCCTCGTGGGGCAGGGGTGGATTTGTTTCTGTCTGTCAACCCCCCAACCCCGGGAAGTGGTCTGTCTCTCTCTGTGTATTTGTATAAATTCTCCCAGGGTCACGATGTTGTATGATACAGGGGTGACGCTGTCCTGTCGCCTGGGTGACATTGTCCTGTTGCTAGGCTCCTCCACATTCTGCCTGTTGATTCTACCCACTTCCATCACCTGGAGGTCAATGGAGTCTCCCTTTCTATGTCCCCGCAGCACACTGTCTCCGTCCTGTAACCGAGTCCCCTTCGGCCCGGCTCCATCGTGTTAACACCTGTCTGCTCATTGTATCATAAGCTCTGTCTGAAACATTGATGAGGAATCTCCTAATTTGCTCTAATGTAATAATAAAACAGTTTTAGATCTTCATTCCAGTGGCTTGGAATTTTGTCTCTGGGTTCTTCTGCAAAGAGAGATAGTAGGCCATTGAGTGTCCTCTGCCATTGGATGACGGATCTGATTCTCCTCGACTCCCATTCTCCTCCCTCATTCCCCTTCCTGACTGAAAGCCTCTCTCCATCTCCACCTCAACCCTTCCTCGAGAGCCCTCTGCGATAAAGAATCCCACAGATTCACTCCCCTCGGTGTGAAGAAATTCCTCATTCCTCGGCCTCCAGGGTCCAGCCCTCACAGAGGAGGGGCCCCCTCACGTCCACTGAAGCCCTTCAGATAGGAGGACATAGGGGCAGCACGGTGGCTCAGTGGTTAGCACTGCTGCCTCACAGCGCCAGGGAACCCAAGTTTGATTCCACCTTCTGCCGACTGTCTGTGTGGAGTTTGCACGTTCTCCCCTTGCCTGCATGGGTTTCCTCTGGGTGCTCCGATTTCCTCCCACAGTCCAAAGATGCGCAGGCTGGGTGGATTGGCCACACTAAATTGTCCGTTGTGTTCAGGGATGTGTAGATAAGGTGGGTTATAGTCGGGTGGCTCCGGGTGGGGTGCTTTGAGGTTCGGTGTCAACTTGTTGGGCCGAAGGGCCTGTTTCCACACTGTAGGGATTTTATGATTCTATGACATCTACACGTGACTCCAGACCCTACGGTGCGCACATGTAAATTATTTTTGTTTGCAAATACATACTTCGTTCATTTACAAAAAAGCCTATTTACTAGAGCTGTTTCATCCTCTGCACATTTTGCATATCGAGAGCAAACAAATCCAAGGCCAGCTCTGCACCTTGTTGTCTCGGATTCTCCAGCATCTGCAGTTCCTACTATCTCCAAGGCATTTATTTCTTGTGCAAGGCTCTATTTATATTTAGGGTAATGGGAGGGTCTGATAACTGAGCCATACATAGGCTAAGTGTAGGTCTGACCAATAGAGGGGAAGCGTGGCGGTGACCGACAGCAGATCGGACCAATAGCGAGTGAAAGGCAGTGGTTGATGGCAGGACCGCCCAATAGAGCGAGAGAGTGGGGCAGTCATACTCGGCAGGTAGGGCCAATAGAGATGGGGATGGGCGGTGATCGACGGCAGCTGTGACCAATAGAGAGGGAAAGCTTCCGGCGGCCAATGGCTGGAGAGGCACGTTGACTGACGGCAGTTGTGACCAATAGAGGGAGGGAATAGTGACTGACAGCTTGTTCGGCCAATAATGTGAGAGAGCAGTGATGACTAACCAATTGACCAATAGTAGAGGGGAAGCCTGTTGACTGACAGCAGGTCTGACAAATCGACTCGGAGAATAGGGCACCGACGACAGTGTTGACCAATAGCAAGAGGGGGCGGTAACCAACGGAGATACTGGGCGCTGAAGAAGGGTCTAGGCCCGAAACGTCAGCCTTCCTGCTCCTCTGATGCTGCTTGGCCTGCCGTGTTCATCCAGCTCTACACCTTGTTATCTAGGCATCAGAAAACAATTTCGCAGTGATTCACCAATAGAAAGTGAGCGGGATGTTGATTGACGGCGGTTTTGACCAATCGAGATGGGCAGTGTTCGTGACTGACGAAAGGTCTGACCAATCGAGGGTGCTGGGCGATGGCCAACTGCAGATGCGACCAATCGTGAAAGTGTGGGGCGATAGCCCCGGTCTGACTAATAGTGAGGGGGACAGTCGGTGACTGACCGCAGATTAGCCCAATGGTCAGAGGGAGAGGCGTTGACTGACCAATAGCGAATGTGAGGGACGGCATCCGACGGCAGGCCTGGCCAATAGAGAAAGCAGTCTGCTGGCAGTGGGGGACAGTTCGACCAATAGTGAGAGAGAACGGCTTGAGGGCGTGTCTGACCAGGACGAGGGGCGTTAGTGGGTATCTGACCAACATTTGACCAATAAACATTGAGCAATTTGTTGACTGATGGCCCGTTTGACCAATTGTCATGACCAAGCTTGCCGGTTGAATGCAGTTCTCACCAATGGAAAGGGAGAATAACGGTGACCGACTGCCAATAGAAGACAAGTCCTCGTGACTGACGGCAAATCTAACCAATAGTGAAGTCGCTCCCATTCGACAGTCTGTTAATCAATACAGAGAAATGAATTACATGATTAATCCAAGCACTGAAATAAACAATCTGATTATTTACCCTTTTAACTCATTACAGCACATGCAATCAAATAAATGAAGCAGAGAATACAAATGTAGTTAATTCAATACAAAGCAAATGCTGATGAATTGCAATCAAATACAACTTGTATCGAGAAAAAAAGAATCAGCATTTTGGAAATGATGGTGCAAGATTAAGTCAATTGATTGATTGATTGATTGATTTTGCAGTCACGTGCAACGAAATACAGTGAAAAGCTTTGTTTACAGGTGGTACAGGCAGATCACAGTAAGCCAAGGATGTACAGATCAAAAGGCTTCAGACAGAGGCATACAGGTGACATTACAGAGAGCGAGATCAACGTTAGCAAGATCAACCTTATTTGAGGCCCGAGAGTCCATTCATCAGTCTGATAATGACCGGGAAGAAGCTGTTCTTGAACCTGCTCATTCATGTATTCAGGCTTCTATTTCTTCTGCCTGATGGAAGAGGTTATAGGAGATCATTACCGGGATGCGATGGGTCTGTATTGATGTTTCAGCCTCTCCACAGCAGCGAGCCATGTAAATGGAATCAATGGATGGAAGGTTGGCTTCCATGATGGTGCGGGCTGTGCACGTCACCTTCTGTAGTTTCTTATGGTCCTGGGCAGAGCAGTTGCCACACCAGGCCATTATGCACTTGGGCAATATGCTTTCAATGGTACATCTGTAGAAGTTGGTGAGGAACGTTATGGACATTTCCTGAGCCGCCTGAGGAAGAAGAGGCGTTGTTGTGCCTTTTTGACTGTCACATCTAGATGGAAATTCCAGGACTGATTGTCGGTTATCGTCAATCCAAGCAACTTGATGCTCTTCACCCTCCCAACCTCAGTTCTGTTGATATTGATGGGGTCACATTCTCCTCCTTTCTTTCGGAAATTAATTGCCAGTTCTTTAGTTTTGCCGACGTTATGAAGCAGATTGCTTTCATTGTGCCACGTCACCAAGCCGTCTATCTCTCTTCTGTACTTTGACTCATTGTTGTTAGATATCCGTCCCACTACAGTGGTGTCATTCGCGTACTTGTAGATGGCGTTCATTTTGAATTTGTCAACACAGTCGTAGGTATAAAGGGAATACAATAAGGGGGCTGAAGGTGCATCCTTGGCATCTCCAGTGTTGAATGTTATTGTGCAGGATGTGCAGTTCCCTATCCTCACTCATTGTGTTCTGTGGGTCAGAAAGCTGAGGACCCAGTTGCAGAGGGTGGAGCTGAGACCAAGGTCATGGAGTTTTGAGTTGGGTCTGGAGGGGATAATGGTGTTGAAGGCAGAGCTGTAGTCAATGAGCAGGAGTGTGATGTAGGTGTCTTTGTTGTCCAGATGTTCCAGGGATGAGTGCAGGGTTAGGCATCCTCTGCAGATCTGTTGGTGGGCAAATTAGAAGGGATCAGGGCAGGCTGGGAGACTGGAGTTGAGGTGGGCCATGGCCAGCCTCTTGAAACACTTCATGATTATTGAGATCAGAGCCACTGGGTGGTAGTCATTGAGGCACATTGCATGGGCTTTCTTTGGTTCAGGGATGATGGTGGTCTTCTTGAAGCAGGTGGGGACTTCTCACAATATTGTCCACCTCAGGGCATCACCTGTTGAAATAAACTCTGACATTTACCTGAAATGATGATTGCGGCTGTACCTGGGCACCTCTGAGCCATTTTGTGAGGAGACATGGTGAATTCTGTTTTGTAATCTACTCCCTCAGATTCTGAGTGAAAAAAGAATTTAAAAGCAGAGGGGTTGAAGTGGGCATTGGCATTGTTCATCTCTTTCTGCTCATACCTCAGGAACAACCTCGATCGGGCAAAACTACTCTGTGTCTGCAAAGACATTGTTTGAAGCAGGAAATAAGTTTGCAACCTGAGAGATTCACAGCCTTCGATGGTTACTCCAGAAAAAAAAAAATCTGCTGCTTGTGTGGTGGCATTGGGAGGCCATCAGAATGTGGCTTGGCACCACTGTAAACACGGGACGGTGGGGGGAGAGAATGAGAGTCTCTGAGCCTTTGATTCATCATGTGTTAATTGATTAATTAGTTCATTCAAACTTCCCTCCAGGGCAAAGTGTGTCTCTTTGCAGCCAGAGATAGACACACAGACATAAACGTACAAAACACAGAGACACACATATGGAAATACGCATTGACATGACCATCAGCATTGTATCAACCAAATCCTCTCTAATCTTGCCATCACCCATGTCCTTCTTCTTGGTGAATACTGATGTGAAGTACTCATTAAGGACTCTTTTCTTTTCCCCAGGGTGGAAATGACTATTACGAGGGGGCATATTTTAAGATGATTGCAGGAAAGTATCGGGGAGATGTCAAAGGTAGATTCTTTACACAGAGAGTGGTGGGTGCGTGGAATGCGCTGCCAGCAGTGGTAGTGGAGTCAGATACATTAGAGACATTTAAGCGACTCTTGGTTAGGCACATGGATGATAGTAAAATGTATGGTATGCAGGGTAGATTGATTTTAGAGTAGGATAATAGGTTGGCTCAACATCATGGGTCGAAGGGCCTGTACTGTTCTGTACTGTTCTATGTTCTATGACCTCACCCACTTCCCATGGGTCCACAGATAAATACCCTCCTCTATCACTGAGTGGATCAACTCTTTCCTTAGGTACCGTCTTGCTGCTAATATGCTATAAAATGCATTGGAATTCTCCTTAATCCTACTTGCCAAGGACATTTCATGTCCTATTTTAGCCTTCCAAATTCCTTTGTGTTATTTCCTGATTCCTTTACATTCTCTTTCCTAAACTTTATATATGCTTCCCTTTTCTTTTAAATAAACTTACAATATCTCTTGTCATCCAGGGTTCCTAAATCTTGCCATT